AAAAGGAAATGATTCTAAATAAATCCCCAAATCTGCACTCAAAAACCCGCTGCCGTCAAGTCAATTCCGACTCATAGAAACTCTACAGCACAGAGCTGAACTGCCCTGTAGGGTTTCCAAGGAGCAGCTGGTAGATTCAAACTGCTGGCCTTCTGGTTAGCAGCCAATCTGCACTACGTGGGGTTAATTCTTTTCTTTTTGTCCTTAGGCATACCCATCACCTGTGACTTCAAGCAAGTCCCTACACTGGCTAAGTAGAGAAGGAAATGTCCGCAGCATCGTCTCCACTCTTCTGCCCAACAGGTGCCAATGCTCTGGTATTCTCTGGATGATGGAAGAAGGTGTTGGAGAACACGGGAAAGAAGCTGGGAATGACAGGACTTGCTACAGGATAATATTCCCATAGTGAAAAGTCATTCAGAAGCAAAGGAGTTTACTCCAAATGAGTTGGTTAAAAAAAAATTAGGCAATTCAGAATCTGCGTACATAATCGTAAGAATGTTTAAGCCCATAGAGGAAATGATTCTCCCTTTTGAAGAGTCCCACTCTAAGCCCCACACAAGAAGCCCTGCTGGGGCAGTGGTTAAGCACTGGGCTGCTAACTAAAAGGTTGGCGGTTCAAATCCACCAGCTGCTGCACCAAAGAAAGATGTAGCAGTCTGCTTCCAACTCATAGTGACCCTAAAAATTACAGCCTTGGAAATCCTATGGGACAGTTCTACTCTGTCTTAAAGGTTCACTATGAGTCAGAACTGACTGAATGGCAAGGAGTTTATTTTGATTTTTTTTTCTTTTGTTTTTTTTTAAGCCCCATTCAAGTAACTTTCAGGCATTTCTTTCCTGTAACAAGATGACTTGTGCTTTTAGATGGCAATCTGTAGCACCTTTTAGTGGGGGAAACAATATTACTAACCCCTGGGATGGTTACTCTATGAAAAAGCTCAATATTGTTAAAGAAAGCAAAAGAAAAAAAAGAAAGACAGAAATCACTATAGATAATGTTATTTATTTTATTTTAATTTAAAAACCGTTAATGTATTATTAAAAGCAGTGAAAATTATCAGTCACAGAAAAGAAAACAGTGTGTCTGGAAAATAACCCTCACGTCATCACTGTTGGTCGTTT